AGGCTGCAATCGGACGGCACTGGAGTTTTGTAAACTAATTCTCAGGTTAGTTGTTGGCATTCATACGGGAATTATTATTGCGGTATTTAAATGGTATTCAAAAAAAAATTTTGTTTTTTTTATTGGTCTGACTATAGTCTCGATCCGGAAGGCGATCCTCTGGCCGTACTATTGATGATCGACTTCTATGCACTACGTTGTGAACAATACGACTATTTGTTGACACTGAACGAGGAATGGGAGTCAACAAAAAAGTTGTCATTGTTTCCCAATTTTCGTTACTCGACATCACTGGCACTCTATTATATGTCACAGAAAACCCCAGAGCTCACGGACCGGGCTGACCAACACATACAGGAAGCATTGATAATGTTTCCGGCTATACTACCCGAACTGTTAGAAAAATGTAGTGTCGAACCCGATCCGCAAGTTGCCCGATGCGATTACTTTCAATACGGTGCTCAAAAGTCAATGACCCCAGCAATTAAACAATTGAATACACTATATATTGGCCGTACATATCTGTTATGGAAGGACAGGTCGATTATGTCGTGGCTCGAGCGGAATGTCCGTCAGGTTATCGAAAGAGTCGCCAATAACGACCCGTTTGTTAATCTATGCTCCGAAAGGTATTACCGTAACCGTGAAAACGGGTGTTTGTATTGATTGTATAACTAATTTGTTGTTTAACATAGACGTAAACAATATCTAAGTGGCGGAACTCCGAGGAATGTCTTACGACATGTCATACTGTCGGGCATTAAAGATGCACAGCTGGCGCTTCCAAATGTTAGTCGTCTTAAAAAAACAATTATCACCACAATTTGGTGGTATCTCTATCTCTTGAAGAATATGTTTTATTAATTCTGAATATATTATATTAGGATTTAGCTAAAGACTCGATCTTCGGCTACGATCCCTTACCGCCAACCGATTCAATTGTATCGTATAGTCGACCCAAAAAACCGGCCGGTGCTCAACAATCGACGACTGCTGGTGCCGGTGCCGGCTCTGCTGCCGATGACCAGAGTTTGTTAAGCGTTTTTCTACGATCGTGGTTACCGAACTTTAATGCCGAAGAACTGGCCGCCGCCGGTGGTGCTGATGGTGCTGTTGTTGGCGGCGCTGTCGGCGCCGGTGGAGTTGCATTGAGAAATCGGGCGATGGCTCGACAATTGGAACGACAGTTAGCCGAGGATGATGTGATGGCCGCTGGAGGCGGTGGTGCACAACGACCGGCCGCCGCCGCTGTCGGCGATACTACCGATTTGCGGCGCAGTGTTACCTCATTGTTGGACGCCATGCGCGACCTACTCAGTAACATACATATGGCCGACGTGCCCAACGAGGGCGACATATCCAGTGAGGACCAGGAGGACGATCCACACGACGATTAACCGATAATAACCGATAATAATAATAATAATATATTGCAATAAATACTGTGCATATGCTATGAATTATTTTATGTTTTTTTTTTGATCATTATTTCTAATTTTTTTTTTTTTTTTTTTTGGTTTCATTTGACAGTAAATTAATTGCCAAATAATTTTTTGAATTGATTTTATTTTTTTTGGTATATATTTTTTTCGGCGTCAAACTATTTGATTGATAAACTACTACTACTACTACTACTAATGTATAACTCAAATATACATATAATAATATTGTGATCTCTTATATATATATATATACAGTATATTGATATAATTATTGTCATAATTTACATATATTTAAGACAAACTAAATAATAATAATTTAATTATAATTAATAATAATAACTATTGTATGTATAGGTGTTGTTGTTGTTGTTGTTGTTGTTTCATATCGTAAAAAAATGATTGATGTTTAACATTAAATTTGTTATATATATTATATATATAAATATATATAAATTATATGAAAAAAAATAATTACCGGTAATTGCAGTGATTTTTTTTTAAAAAAAATTGTCTCCAAATAATAGTTATGTTATTATTATAATTATAATGTGAATATGAAATTGATTTTTTTTGACAAAAAAAAACAATTGTTTTGTTTGTTTGTTTTATTTTTTTGATGAAATACTACACTTAATCATTAATTTATAAAAAAAAACTAAATAAAAATCTTTTTTGTGTAAAAATAATTTGATTTTTTTTTTGATAATAATTTTTTTATATGAATTAATTTTTTTGACCGAATAAATGGTTTTTTAAAAAATACTTTATATATATAACTTATATATTGATATTTTTAATTAATTATTTTCATAATTTTTTTTGATTACCCCAGTGTAAGTTTATCATAAATATAAAAATAAATATTTTTTTTAAAAAAAGTAAAAATTTACTAGATAAAATTATTGTAAAACATTTATTTACCTAGTTTAGTTTATTTTAAACCGACCCAGTTAAATGGGTAATTATAATTTATAGATATATTTTTTTTAAAAAGTAAAAATTTACTAGATAAAACTTTTATTTACCTAGTTTAATTTATTTTAAACCAACCCAGTTAAATGGGTAATTATAATTTATAGATATATTTTTTTTAAAAAGTAAAAATTTACTAGATAAAACTTTTATTTACCTAGTTTAATTTATTTTAAACCAACCCAGTTAAATGGGTAATTATAATTTATAGATATAATATTTTTTTTTTTTAAAACATAATAATTTATAAAACATATCATAACTTGTTTGATTTTCTAAATTTTTGTTAAAATTATTTAATTTTTATAAAAATTTATATACAGGTTAAATAAGATTTAAATTTTATTAAAAAACAATAAACTAGGTTAGGTCATCAAATTTGAAATGCTAATCAATCCGTAAATCAATTGATAATTTAATTAAATTTATTAATCAAATCAAATGCTATAATGTATGACTTGAATGGTTTGAAATTATAATATCAAAAAAAAAACAATTGATTGCAAACTATGGTCTCATTGATTGACTAATTGATATTAAAAAAAAAAATACAATTTAATAGTGAATTTAAAATGCAATGAAAATAACATAAAAATGTTATTATTTTCTTAATTTTCTTTATATATAAATTTTATATATTAATAACTAGTGTCTTGATTTCCAACTAAAAAAATTATTTTGTCGGTTTAACGCTTATAACTGGGACTTAGTATGTCCACCGAACTTGACCAGTGGACGCTATTTCCGAAATTTTATTATAACTATAAATAACTATTTGTTAGGTTAGCAACTATAAAAACTTATAAATAACTATTTCAGTTATTTTGAAAAATATAAGCATTAAATTGTAAAATATTGCTCAAATATAAGTAAAAACAAAAAGTAATAGTTATATAAATTATATAAAATGTGTAAACTGTTATCAACTCATATTACTTTTTTAACAATAGAAATATTAAGTTTATTTATATAAATCATTTTTGTAAATATGCTGAAAACAAGTGAATTATATATCAGTTGAAATATTTATAAGAAAATAAATAACTATTTCAATAACTATTTGGCTTTTTTTGGAAATTATATACAACTATTTAATACAGTTTAAATAACTATTTTAACAACTATTTGACGTTTTTTGTCAACTATTATAACAACTATTTAATAGAGTATAAAAAATTATTAATCAATACACTATTAATAACTAACTAAACGTTAAGTATTGTTGACTATTATTTGACACATTATATGACGAAACACGTTATGCATTGCATTACTATTACATTGCACTACAAACACACACTTCAAACATATATATATATACTGTATATTATTGAATGACAAACACATTAAATAACATGTATTAACAACAGTAAAGTGTTTACAATATGATTGCAATTATGATATTATTATCAAATAATACTTAAATAATAATAATATTAAATCATACAATCAGTGGCCACTAAATCAATTAAAAAAATAAATAAATTATTATTATATAATAATAATAATAGTTATCATTAAAAAAAAAAATCTTTTAATTTTAAAATCAAATGGCTTTTCGCTGTATAAATGCATTCAATATTATAATATCAATCAAAATCTGCAAATAAGTGACCGATTTATACGAAAAGCATTACTACAGTAAAGCCGTCGTCGTTGGTCAGCAAAAACTATGTAAGTCTTTGTTTATCATCACCTAAACTGATCCCATCATCTGATCTGATATACTGATCCATTCATCATTAGGTTAAACGAAATTAAACGACTACTATAGAGGACAGCCATTTCCTACCGAAATATAACGATTTGTTAGTAAAGTTACGGTCAATGATATTAATTTTAAAACCATTCAAGTCATACATTATATAAAGCATTTGATTTGATTAACTAATAAAATTAATTATCAATTGATTTACAGTTGAATAATAACATTATTTAAAATTGACACTAAAATGTCGGATCAGATTAACATTCTTGTGATGGTCTGTGGATCAGTTGCTGCCATTAAGACACCCATACTATTGGATCAATTGAATCGTCGGTTAACAGATTTGTCGGATAATAAAGATCGGCAAATAGAGGTCCGATTGGTGACCACTGAACACGCCTTACATTTCTATAATTTTCATGAAATTAGTGGTCACTATAAAGTCTATAGAGATAGCGATGAATGGCAACAATTGGGACACAAATTGGGCGATGAAGTGCTTCACATTGAACTGCGAAAGTGGGCCACCATTGGCCAAAATATCGGTCGGTATTTGCGATAATCTGTTGACATCGATAGTCAGGGCCTGGGATTTGACTAAACCATTAATATTTTGTCCGGCAATGAACGTCCATATGTGGACACATCCCGAAGTGTCCACTATTGTTGATTATGTTCAACAAATGTTTTAAAAATTTGTGATATTTTCAACCAAAAAAAAAAACGACATCACTGGCACTACCATATCGACACATTGATCCAGTTTCAGCGATGTTTAGACAGTCAAATGGCTGCCGAACTAATCGGTAATTTTTATTTAATTTTATTTTTAACTTAACTATAGTTCCTAATAATAGTGTGCAATTAATAATTGTTTTTTATATTTTACATCCCTTTCCTCTACTACTACTACTACTAATGTCCAGAGCGGGCTCTGTATTGTATTGAACATACGTTTCATCCGCTGTTCAACATAACACAGGCCAACTGTCGGCTAGACTATAGGCGCCCGGAGAACAGGGCCTTTTATATAGCACTATTCAAGCACCTGTCTGTTTGTTGGCCAGAGAGGCTGCAATCGGAAGTCAATGATACCGGAAATTGAAACAATTGAATACACTATACATTGGCCGTACATATCTGGCCTATGGAAGGACAGGTCGATTATGTCGTGGCTCGAAAGGAATGTCCGTCTGGTTATCGAAAGAGTCGGCAATTAACGACCCGTTTGTTAATCCGAAAGGTATTAACCGTATTAAACGGGTGTTTGTGTACAGTAGCTAAACAAAAAATTAAGTAATAATAAATATTTTTTACCAAGATAATTTATTTTTTAAATATTCAAACATGTATTTAATCTAAAAATAATTTATTATAATTGTGTTTCAATTTTATATATATATATATATAGACAATTAATTTATTTTTTAAAATTAGTAAAATTTTAATAAATTAATTTTGTTTCTGTATATTAACGTAATCTAAATGTAAAAATTAATTTATAATTATAATTATTATTATTATTATTACAATTACATAAATAAAATTAATTTTTTTTGTTGTTGAAAATTTTATAATAACTATTTTTTAATTAAAATAATTCAAGTTTCTATTGATTATTATATTTATTAACTCTTTTTTTATAAAAAAAAAATTATTTAAAAAAACCGAAACCAATATAAATGTCTAATTGAATGAAATGTTTTTATTTATTTTTTTTTTTTTAAATATATAAATATTATTAATAACTAACTATTAATATACTTAATGTATAATTAATAACTAACTAAACGTTAAGTATTGTTGACTATTATTTGACACATTATATGACGAAACACGTTATGCATTGCATTACTATTACATTGCACTACAAACACACACTTCAAACATATATATACTGTATATACTGTATATATTGAATGACAAACACAAACAACACATTAAATAACATGTATTAGTAAAGTGTTTACAATATGATTGCAATTATGATATTATTATCAAATAATACTAATAATAATAAAAATCATACAATCAGTGACCACTAAATCAATTAATAAAAAAACTAATTATTATATAATAATAATAGTTATCATAACTATTAAAAATTTTTTTAAATCAAATGGCTTTTCGCTGTATAAATGCATTCAATATTAATATCAATCAAAATCTGCAAATAAGTGACCGATTTATACGAAAAGCGTTACTAAAGCCGTCGTCGTTGGTCAGCAAAAACTATGTAAGTCTTTGTCTATCATCTATTAAACTGATCCAATCATCTGATCTACCGATCCATTAGGTTAAACGAAATTTACGACTACTAGAGGACAGCCATTTCCTACCGAAATATAATGATTTATTAGTAAAGTTAAGGTCAATGATATTCATGTCCGCCGATAATCAAGAAGTGCCCAAAGGTTTTGAAAAGTTTTTTCCGAAAAGCGGTTCAAAAAAGCCATCGGCGGCGGCGGCCGAGACAACTACCAAACAAGGAAAGTCATCGGCGGCTAAACCAGAGGCCAATAGCGAAGGTCAACAATCATCGTCACCTCCGCCACAGCCGCCGCCGCCGTCAAAGTCTGGACCACAACAACAAGGCTTTCAGGCATCGAAACCGAAAGAATGGAAGTTTGATTACAATTTGAATTTCGGCGGCGGAAAGGGTGGCGGCGGCGGTGGCGAAGAAGCCAATCGATGGACAAACATTGCATTGGCTACCACTTTGGGAGTGTTAGGTATTGATGTCGGGACTGACCCGACACTGACCACTGACGACATTAGATCTAGATTTTTGTGTTTTTATTTCTCAATAATCGGTTACCGTAGGTCTTCTGGCCTACAATGAGATGCGCTATAAGGAGATCACTTGGAAAGAGTTTATCAACAACTACTTGTCCCGCGGTATTGTCGACAAACTGGAAGTGGTCAACAAAAAATGGGTACGCATACGATTTGTGCCGGGTTCGGGCGACGCGGCCAACATTTTGTGGTTCAATATCGGTAGTGTCGATACATTTGAACGCAATCTGGAGAACATACAGCTAGAGATGAACATCGAGCCGACCAACTTTATACCCGTAGTCTATAAGACCGAAATGGACGGGTAGGTTAACTGGGGGGTGGACTGACCGACCTATGTATTAGATTATGCTAATCATATGACTGTCCGTTTTGTATTGTTTAGGTCAAGTGCTGTCAGTTTTATACCCACTCTACTGATAATCGGTTTTCTTGTTTGGTCAATGAGACGGGCATCCAATGTGATGGGCGGTATGGGTAAGGCCGGCCGCAAAGGTGGCGGCATTTTCGGTATGGGCGAGTCAACTGCTAAACTGATTAATCCGACCGATATTGGCGTCAAATTCAAGTGAGTAGTAGTACTAGTAATAGTGGATCCGATCCGATCAAGAAGTTTGTCTTAAGACTCATTTACTGTAATTTGTTTATTATTCTTATTATTCCTCAACATCAGAGACGTCGCCGGTTGTGAAGAAGCAAAGATCGAAATCATGGAGTTTGTAAACTTTCTGAAGAATCCGCAACAGTATCTGGATTTGGGCGCAAAGATACCCAAAGGTGCACTACTAACTGGTCCGCCCGGTACCGGTAAAACCCTGCTGGCCAAAGCAACTGCCGGCGAAGCAGCCGTACCGTTCATTACGGTAAGCGGTTCCGAATTCCTCGAAATGTTTGTCGGTGTCGGACCATCGCGTGTACGCGATATGTTTACAATGGCCCGCAAGAATGCTCCGTGCATTCTGTTTATCGACGAAATCGATGCCGTCGGCCGCAAACGCGGTGGCCGTAGTTTTGGTGGCCACTCTGAACAGGAAAACACACTGAATCAGCTGTTGGTCGAAATGGACGGTTTCAATACGACAACCAATGTCGTAGTATTGGCCGCTACCAACCGAAGCGATATACTCGATCAGGCCCTGCTCAGGCCCGGCCGATTTGATCGGCAAATATTTGTACCGCCACCGGATATCAAAGGTCGGGCATCGATATTCAAAGTACATTTGGGACCTTTGAAGACCCAGTTGGACAAACTGGATGTTGCCCGCAAAATGGCTGCCCTGACGCCGGGGTTTACCGGTGCCGATATTGCTAACGTATGCAATGAGGCCGCACTGATAGCCGCTCGCGATCTCAACGAATGGATTAATTTGAAACATTTCGAGTCGGCTATCGAGCGGGTCATTGCTGGCCTCGAAAAGAAAACAAAAGTCCTCCAACCGGACGAAAAACGTACGGTTGCCTATCACGAGGCCGGCCATGCAGTGTGCGGTTGGTATCTGGAACACGCCGACCCCCTACTGAAAGTGTCGATCATACCGCGCGGTATGGGACTCGGCTACGCCCAGTACCTACCAAAAGAACAGTACCTCTACTCCAAAGAACAACTATTCGATCGGATGTGTATGACATTGGGTGGCCGGGCATCGGAACAGACATTTTTCGGCCGAATAACGTCCGGTGCACAGGATGACCTGAAAAAGGTCACCCAAAATGCCTACTCCCAAGTCGTACAGTTGGGTATGTCCGATAAAGTTGGCCACTTGTCGTTTGATTTGCCACAACCGGGCGATATGGTTGTCGATAAGCCGTACAGCGAAGAAATGGCGCAACTGATCGACAGCGAAGTCCGCGAACTGGTCCGCCAGGCCTACGATCGGACCATTGAGTTGATTGCCAAACATAAAGACGATGTCGAAAAGGTATTGTTTTGTTGTTGTTTCTGTAAATGTCTTTAAGATTATCGTCTAATTGTTTTTTTAGGTCGCCTTAAGATTATTGGAAAAAGAGATACTAAACAGAGACGATATGATTGAACTGTTAGGCAAACGGCCGTTCAAAGAGAAGTCGACGTACGAAGAGTTTGTCGAAGGAACCGGTAGTCTAGACGAAGACATATCATTGCCTAAAGGACTCGAAGGTTGGAATGAAGCGAAAACCGACGCCAAGAAAACAGATGTCGCCAAAGAAAAGACATCCGAAGAGCCGACAAATTAGTTATTAATAATAAATATTTATAATAAAAATAATTATAAGTTTTTTTTTTAATTATTAGTAGTCATAAAAAAAATAATTTTTGAATCAATATTTTTTAGAGTTATTTATAAATATTTAACAACAAAAATGTTTAATAATAATAATAATTGTACAAAAAAATAAAATGATGACGATGATGAATAATAAATTTATTATTATTATTATTATTGAAAAAAATTAAATAAATTTAATTTAAATAATTAATTAAAATATACTGTATTTTTTGTAAATGTTATTTATTTATGTATTTAATAATCAATAGTTTATTTTTTTTGTTTGTTTGTTAAACACTATCAGTTTTTTTTGTTAGTTGTCTAGAAATACATTGATATTATTATACATGTATAGATACATATATATATATATATATATATATTTATTCAAAAAAACATTTAAGCGTACACACAAAAATGCGTCAGCCGGGAGTCGAACCCGGGTCAACTGCTTGGAAGGCAGCTATGCTAACCGTTATACCACTAACGCAAGTTATGTAATAAAATAATTTAGTAAAATGTTTTAATTTATAAATTTTTCAAAAATAATCATTTAGTGATTTATTATTTATTTTTTTTTGGTAAAGTTATATACACTGTATTATCTATGATAACACACATGTGTTTTATGTTATTTTTTATTTCAATTAGTTATATATATATAAACCAGTTATACAATTATATAATATATACATAAGCTGTCAAACCTAACAGTAAGGCTGTGTCTATAATTTCAATTATATTATTGTTTTTGAGATAATTGATTGATTGATAGTTTAGTTAATTGTAATTATTGATAGTTTTTTTTTGTTGTTGAAAACTTTTTTTATTAATTATTATTATTATTATAAAATATATGATGATATATTTAATGATTAACTTTGAGAGGTTATTAATTAATTATATATATACTTATGTTATGTTTTTTAATCAATAAAGTATAGTTAAAGTAAAAAATATAAGTAAAATTAATAGGTATATAAAAATATAAGGTAATAAAATATATAATATTTTTATTATATAAATATCAAATTATCGTAAAATAATTATTACAATAACTTTTTTAAAGGTAATAATAGTAATAGTAATTTGTTAATCAATTTTATTTTGGGATTCAAATCTAGTTTAGTAATTAAAAATATTAATAAAATTTTTTTTAAAATTATAAAATACTAGATTTTTTGTTTTATAATAAATTAAAAAATGTTAATAAAAAATGTTAACTATAAAAAATAAAACGAAAATAATTTATATACAATGTTTTTAGTACAATACTATAATATAGTAATTATAATATCTATTGTGTAAATCAATTATACAATAATTTGTTAATATTTTTTTGTTGTGTATTTATAATTAGCATAAAAAAACTAAAAATATAAATTTATAAAAATAATTTGTGTCCTTAACATGATAACTAAATATACAGTAATTTTGTTTTATAAGTTACGGTATATTAAAGCAATTGAAACAAACAAACCAAAAATTATATTAATATATATATATTCAATGTCTTCAATCATCAACTAATTTATTGTAAATTACAATTTATAATTATACAATATTTTTTTTAAATGTTAAATATATATAATTTTTATTTACTTAAAGTACTAAAACAAACAAAACATAATTAATAGTTTAGTTTATGTGTATGTGATTACCGAAAGTTATATATATATATATATATTAGTTAATATACTGTATATATTATTTGCATAATTAGTTTATATTAACAAATTACACCCACAATTATATTATGCTATTTATTAACTCAAACAATACGTATATGTGTGTTAAATTAATTTTGTTTTATTTTTTTTTGTTAACAAAATAAATAATAAAAATAAATGTTAGTTTTAATTTCTGATAAAATTTTGTTGTTGTTGTAAAATATAATTTATATCAATTTAACTATTTATAAGATATATATATATATATATATAAATTAGTTTATAATAGTAATAATGATAATACTATTTTTTAAAGCAATAAATTAATTTTAACTAATTAGTAACTTTGAATAAGTAATCAAAAAATAACTATTTTTTCTAATTATATTAAAATCATTTAATTATTTATTTAACCCCAAAATTATACTAAAAAAAATGTTTGTCTGCCTTAAGGTTTTTTCTGGTGATTAATTTCGTGACTAAATATATGACTTTTTTCAAACAAAAAAAACAATTGACTGCAAACAAAGATACAATTTATTTATATTTAAAAAAGTTTAAACCAGAGTCAAGGATTTGGTGATAATTTATTTATATTTTTTAGTTTTTTAGTTTTATTTAAATACTTTTTTGTTTGTTATTAATTATGAATAGTCACACATTTTTTGTGTGTATAGTTTAGTTTAATTAATTATATTAATATTATTGTATAATTGTAAATCATGTGGACATACACCATAAATAACCACCTGTTCCCATATATTATACACTATATATATACATATATAAATTTATAAGTATATATAATTTATATACAAACTAATTTTAATCCAATTTAATCAGTGAGAAAAATTGTTTGAAATTTTTTTTATAATAAATAAAAAATTAACTATTAATTAGATTAAAATAAAAAACAACATTTAAATTATTTAATGATTTAATTTTTATTTTATTTTACTATAAATGACAAATATATTATTATTATTATTATTGTTAATATTAAAATAATATCTTATTGTACTATAAAATGTTATATAAAAAAAATAAATTGATTTCAAATTTATATATATATTGTTTTATTATATATATTTAATAATAAATAATTTTTAAAAATTTATTGTCATATCAATGAATTGAATTGTGTGTTCAAAAAATATTTAGATACAAAAAATAAATTATTAATATTTTTAAAAAATATTTTTTAAATAAGATCGTGATTTAAATTTATTTTTATTGTATTCATCAAACAAAATATAATACTAAAAATACTTGTAAACTATTTGAGAAAATATAATATTCACATGAAATATATATATATATATAAATTTCTCAAAAAAAAATTATGAATAATAGCATATATATAATAAATAATATTTGAAAACAAATAAATTTAATTACAACTGTTAGTTAGTACAGTCACACACAAAAAATAGCATTTAATCTAAAAGATCACGAAATTAATTATTTACAACAAAAAATAATAATAATAATATTTATTATATACATAATCTCAATATATTTATAATTATAATAATAATAATAAAGTTTTTTGAAGGCAACCGTATTTTTACAACAACAACAAAAAAATATTAATTATTAAAAGCTTTACAATTAGACAATAGTAGTCTTCAATAAATTTTTAAAAAAATATAGTTATTTATATTATTTTTTTTTAAATACTTATGAAATAAATTTTAAACAATTTTTGTTGTAATAAATTTCTTGACTTTTGAACAAAAGTGAAAGTAAATTAATTATATATATATATACTGTATATATATTTTAGACACATATTATAACACTTTTTGTTTGTATTTTTGTGGTCATATATGGTGTGGTAAACCCTTTTGCATACCAGTGCCACCCCATTGCCCCCATCTATCTCTCTCTCTCTCTCTCTCTCTCTCTCTCTCTCTCTCTCTCTCACTCTCTATACCTAAACACCTGTTAACTGATAGACAAACCTAAAAAAGCTAACCGACTGATGGATTGCGTGTTGTTTTTAAACACCACCACTACTACTATTGAAGAGGAGATATCACATCACATCACACATACATCAAAAAACATTTATTATTTTTATTGTGTGTTTGTTATCTATAAATAAATAGTAAAGAAAAAACTTTTTTATCAAATAAAATAGTTTTCATTTTCAAACAAAAAAATAATTGGTGTTATTATTATTAAAGTTTCAATTTTATACTATAATATAATCGTACTTTAAATTGCTGTGCATTTATAGTACTCATTGTCTATTAGTTTTGTTGGCCTTAACATTGAAATTAAAAAATAAGTTTCACTTTTTATTTTATTTAGTTGTGTGTCTGTGTCTATGTGTTAAAGAGGTTTCAATATTATTAATAAATATTTTTGTTGTTAAATACCTATTATTATAATAATATAATAATAATAATAATAATAAACATATATATAATCAGTGAATTACAGTAGTTTTTTTATTATTTAATTGTGTATTAATTTTTAGTAATAGTTTTAAAAACTGTTTTTTAAAAAAACACTTTTTAGAAACTTTATTATCATTACTATAGAAAAAAGTGTCTTTTTTGTAGTGTTTTTTTTAATAGTAGTTTTAAATATATATATATATTATCATTAATATCGCGCACACTGTACATACTGTACATACTGTTCCCCACACCATAATGTCCTATGTATTAGTATCTACCGATGACTTTCATCGTGGACCGACCCGACTGTCCAGTATTGACCCATACCTTCACGAAAAACTGCCGCTAACTATCATCAAGGATACCATCTTTTATCAGGTATTACTATATTTCTATATTTCTATATATATATATTAATAAAATAAAAGTTGATATTTTACACATACCTACCCTCCTCCCCACCCCCACCCCAATAAATAATTAGGAAATCAATTTCACTATTAATTTATGACTTCCTTATTACCGTATTTTTTATGATTTTTATTTAAACAACAAAAATAGTGCTATTTTTATATATCATATATATATAAAAGTTATTTTAGGTCTAAAAAACAATTTTCTTACATTTTTTTTTTGTTTTATAATTTAATTAATTAATTAAAAACCCGAAAAAAATACTAATTTTTTAGGGCGAATCCCAATACGACCCGCACGGCCGCTACTGGAAGTTTCGTGTAGAGGACGCACCCGTACGGGTGCTCAACAAACTGTTGGACATTGGCTACAAAATCAAGACCGGAAGCTGTCTATCAAATGGCCGCAACTATGACAACCATTCGGGTCACGCCTGGACTCTATACAAGCGGGACATCAAAGAGTTAGACAAAAGCTACTAATTATTTGCTAAATAATAATTATAATTAAAAAAAATTTTTATAAAAAAAACTAATTTTCAATTTACTAATTCATATATACTATACTAACAAATGTTTTTTTTATTTGTTTGTTTTTTTTTGGTTATTAATAATAATAATAATAATTAATAATTAAAGTGATTTGCCCAATGGATTCTGGTATAAATGTAAAAGATTAATTTAATAATAACTAATAATAATAATATACTAACTAATTAATTAACTAATTAATTAATAATTAGTTATGTATTTTATTTATTATAATTTTGTAAATCTAATATTTGATTGTTTAATATTTTTTTTAATTAATGAAAATAATTGTATTTTTCTATAATTATATATATATATATATATATATATACTGTATTACAATAATAATTTACTAACTATTATTAATTAATTATTAATTAATTAATTAGTTATGTATTTTATTTTACTATAATTTTTTTAATGTAATATTTGATTGTTTAATATGTTTTTATTAATGAAAATAATTGTATTTTTCTATAATTATATTATATATATATATTACTATAACTATTTCTATTATATTATTATCAAATTATTTTTTGGTTATTTAGGTTTTTTTGTTGTTTTTTTTATATATATGTATAATATTTTTTGTTTTGTTTAAGTAATATTAATAATTAGTGTAATTTGTGTGTTATGTAATGCTAAGTAATGTAACTTTTTTTTAAAATTGTAAATTGTATTTGTTTTTTAATTTTGTAACAAAAAATTTTATCTAACATTTTTTTTTGTTTTTGTTGTTTATATAAATCTCATTTATCATACTATTATTTTTTTAACATAATTAATTTGTTGAATAAAAAAAATTACTAGAAAAAATACCAAAAATAACATTGTTTGAATTGAATTTAAAAATTTATTTATTTTTCAATATTTAATATCTATATTAAAACAACAACAATAAAAATACAAATAATATTTTATAGTAACAACAAAAATAACATTAATATATCTTTAATATTATATATAAATTTTTAAAAATGATTTTTTAACATAATTAATTTGTTGAATAAAAAAATTACTAGAAAAATACAAAAAAAAACATTGTTTGAATTGAATTTAAAAATTTATTTATTTTTAAATATTTAATATCTATATTAAAACAACAAAAATACAAATAATATTTTATATTAACAACAAAAATAAAACATTAATATCATATATATTTAAAAAAAATTATATTATTATTAATTTATTATATATTATTAAAATTTTCTATTAAATTATATTAATTTAATTTATTATATATTATTAAAAATTTTAATTAAATTATATTATTATTAATTTATTATATATTATTAAAATTTTAATTTAATTAAATTATATTATTATTAATTTAATTCAATAATTATCATTAAAATCTTTGGACTGATAGGAGGATTTGGGGACAAAATTCAATGAAAACTTATGGCGTTTAGGATTGCAAACACTGGCAAACTCTGTAATCTTCATACATACCAGTCCTGAACAACAGGACGACTGTTGTCGGCTGCTATCGACTGTCAGACTGCATGGTTGGCCTAAATCACGGCAAACAACGCACAGATTGCTAACATGATCGCCGGTACGTCGGACGCCGCAACTGGTGCCCGGACAGCACTGTTTGCTTGGACTCATCAGATCGCAGTACTGGCCCTGTAGTTGACATCGACGGCCGGCCTCCAGTTTGGTATCGGATCCTTTGAAATTGATGGATAACCACAAAACAAACACAAAAAAAACAAATCACACATTAATTTATTGATTGATTAAAACTGATTGATTGATTAATTTTGAATACCTTTAATCATAAATGTTAGACAATTATCAGTGAATAGACTGATATCAATGATTATTACTAATAAAATAATTGGCAAAACTTTTTTAATTGAAAACTCCATTCAAATTGTTATTATTATTATTATTATGTTTTATATTCACGTTTTATAAGGCATATTAATTTTTATTAAAAATTATTTATTTTTTTTGTATAAAATATAACAAACTATTTTTAAAATGCAATCATTTCTAAACTCTATATATACTATATATAGTTTATACTATGATATTATAAATGAGAAACTGTTTCTAAAATACTAAACATTTTATATACAGTATATATAATTTTGTACAGAAAAAAAATCAGATAATTTTTTTTATATTTGTACCCAAAAATCAATGCTTAAAGCTTTTTACTGGTTATGATGGTAGTGGTGGTGGGGTATCTATATATAGCATTTTATTTTTTGAAATTAACAAAATAAAAACAATATATAATATATATATATAATAAAATACAACAACAACAACAAAATTGGACGATCCCTATGAACAGCACAGGTATGCCTGAAAATAATAATAATAATAATAATAATAATAATAATAATAAACTTAGGTATGCCATCCAATTCAATATATATATATATATATATATAGAGTATTAATTGATTTATTATTATTAGTGTATAATTTTATTACTTTTTATTTTTTAAGACTATCTAAATATTATGATATATACAGTATATATATATATAAGTATTGATATATATATATAAATACTATTTAATTATTTATTAAATACCGATTAGTGTTAACGTTGTTTGGGTCAACGTTTTTGTTGTTTATATATTTTTTTCCCGTATAATAAATATTATATAACTTTATTTTTAGGAAAATTATTTTGTTGTTTTATTTTATACTGTATAAGTTGTAAACATAAATTTAATTATATATATATTGCTTATACTATTTTTATATTTTGCATTGATTTTTTTTGATTTAAAAAAAACATTTAAAAATAATTTAAATTATACTATATATATATATATATATATATATATATATATATATATATATACTATATATATATATTGAAATAGAAAACAATTATCGTAATACTATGATAAATATTTTTTTATAAATATTTATAATTTAATAATTAAATTAATTCAAAATAATTTCACATATATATATGTGTGTGAAATTATTTTGACATAATATGTATATAAATAATTCAATAAACACTCCTTAAAAAAAATATGAACTAAATAAAGTAAATATTAAAATATTTTTTTTAAAAAAAAACTTATAATTTAATTACAAATTATCGATTAAATAGAAATCAATATAAAAAAATATTTATTTATTTATTTTATTATTATTATAATTTCAATATCATTGCAATATTTATTAGTTTTATTTTTAATTTAATATTCAAGATTTTAAATACAACTAAAATTTTAGTTATTTTTTTTCTCTCTCTCTCTAATAATTAGAAAGTATGTCAAAAGTTGAATAAAATTGATTTTTTTAGAAAAAAATATTATTATTAATTAATCAAAACGGTAGCAAAAATTATTAATTTATTAAATATATTTATAGTTTCACAAAAAAATAATAATTATGTATATATTAAATATATTTTTTGTTTAATAATAAAAAAAAGTATTATTATTAATATATATATATACTGTATATAATATTTTTTAAAGTTTAAGTTCAAAATCTATTATATAAATTAAATTTTTTTTATTTTTAATTATATCACGTTTTTCTTTCAACTTTATTGCGTGACTTTAATAGCCTATTATGTTTAAAATGTTAAAACCTATTGTCTATATATAATATATATATACCCACCAAATGGTTATTAATAATAATATTAAATACCATAATATCATGTGTTGAATGTGATGTATATATATATATATATATAATCACACTTTACGTAAGTAATTAATAGCCACACAAAAAAATATATATATATATATTTAATAAACGTATTGTCGATTAGCAATGCTTTCAATGAGGCAAACAAAATGTATTGAATTGTATATAAAAATTTTAAAATAATTGAAATTAAAAACGCTTTCTATGTTTAGAGACTATATATATGTGTTTTATTTTTTAATTTTTTTTTTTGAAGTACATTATGAATCATATGATAAAATATTTTAAATTAACAATAAGTGTATAAATTGTTTATTAGAAAATAAAAGTTTATATATATATATATACAGTATTTATTACAAAAAAATTTTAAAACTAAAATGTATTTTTTTTGGTTTTAATAAAACAATTAAACCTCTATTAAAACCCATGGGTGCTATGCCTGGGATTAATTTAATAACATGCTTGTCTACCCCACCCACCCCACCCCCATCACCATTTAGGAGGTCCGTATCATCGATTAATAAGCTGATAATAATAAAACAAATACAATATAAAACAATGATAATTAACTACCTGTGCCAATGCTAAAATTAAAATCAATGTAATTAATTAAATTGGTTATTTTTTATATTAATAAACAAAACAAAAAAAATCAATCAATGTGTTTGAAAAATTGATATATTTTATTATAATTATATATGTAAATTTTGCTTTATTTATATATATAATTTAATAAATTATATTTATAATAATCCAATCAGATAATTTTTAATTAATTAATTTTTGCATTAATTTCAACAACAAAAAATATACGCAATCAATATAAATGTATAGCATTTGATAAATAATTATTTTTTCTAAATATTATTATTTTATTTAAATTTATTAGATTACACTGCAATTTATTAATTTAATATTTTAATAATAATAATAATAATGTAATAATTTATTAAAACTTTTTTTTAGTCTCTAAATAAATAATTTCAATATTTTGATAATTTCTAATTTTAATATTATCTAAAATCTAAATTACATAATTATTATTATTATTATTACCGGTATATTAATAGTATTAATAATTTCAGATAATTTCTCAAATATTATACATTAGTAGTTATCACTTAATAATTATTTAAATAAATAATTAAAAAAATGGCAATAATTTATATGTTATTTTTTTCAAACAAAAAAAAAACAAAAATTATCGAATTTAAACAAAAAAATTAGTTTTTTTTATTTAATAATAATAATAATATCATAAATTTATTTGAGATAATAAATAAATTTGTCAAAAATTGTTTTTTTATATATCAAAAAATAATAATAATAATAGTCGTAATGAATTTTACAAAAAACAAAACAAAAATTCATTTAAATTCATTGAATAATAATAATAATATCGTAAAAAAAGTATACAAAATGAAACTACATTTTCATCATAACTACTAGTAATTATATAATACAATATAATATTAATGATAATAATAATAATAACGTTAATTACATAATCATACGGATAATACTCATTACCCGGTAATTAATTGGGTTTTTTGTTGGCGTCTCTCTCTCTCTCTCATTAAAAAACTCTGTCCACATACTGGGCGTCGGCTGCCGATAGTGGCCGCTGTTGAGGATGTACGCCGGCAACACCGTGCGGCGGCGGATGAACGCCGCCAACGACTGGCATCGGCATCGGTGGCTGTTGGCCACCCTGTGCCCGACGTCGAGCGGGTGTCAGATACTCGAACATCGACTGCGAATGTTGGGACAACATTTTCGACAAGTCCTGCGGCATTGGGTCCATCCAGAAAAAGTCGTGATTCAGTGCCGAATCCGAATCCAATCGTTTACTCGGATCCAGAATCAACAGTTTGTCCAACAGATCCAACGCGTACTGACACTTGACGTAGGCTTTCAGTCGTTCTTTGACTTTTCGTTTCTGATTTTTCGGTAAATCTAGTTTATTGTATAGATCTAGTCGTTCGACACCCGGCCATACTTCCGGTGCAATCGAACCGCACAGTTGGCTGATTAGGTTAATCTGATTTTGTTCGGTATTTCCTTGCATTATCGGACTACGGGTCCACATCTATTACGGGTAAAAGGGGATAGACATATAAAACAATAAATTAGATATTTGTCCCATAAATGTTAGAGGAGCTATCACTCCGAGCCTACCTCAGCCATTATACAGCCGGCGCCCCACAAGTCCACTGGTGAACCGTAATTACGTTCGCCGAGCAGCAACTCGGGCGGCCTATACCACAACGTAACCACCCGATTGGTATACCTGTTAGCCTGATTCTTGTTCGACGTCGATATGGCCCGAGCCAGTCCAAAATCGGCCAACTTCAAGGTACCGTTTTTCGTAATCAATATGTTGGCCGCTTTCATATCCCTGTGCAATATTTTCTGGCTATGTATGAAAAACAGGCCATTCAACAGTTGTTGCATAACTTTTTTGATTTCGCCCAACGAAAACTTCACATTAACATTGGACAGTAGGCCGGCCAAGTCATGCTCGCAAAACTCAAACACCAGATAAAACGTAGCCTTATATGCTTTGTTGGCCGCATCGGTAGGTTTCGAGCCTTTGATGTTGTTGTTGTTGTTGGATTCGTTGACAGCAGTTGTCCGACAAATTTCGATCAATGGTACAACGTTTTCGTGTTTCAATAGCTGAAGTATCTTAATCTCGCGTAAGGCAGTGATCGGGAACCCCTCCTTCTCGTTCTCCATCAATACCTTCTTCAGGGCAACAATTTTTCTCGTCTGCTTGTGTTTGGCTTTGAATACTTCGCCGAAAGTACCTGAAGATTGCAATTGATTGGATTGAATGGTTAGTTGTCTGTGGATCTGATCAAGTGATAAACAAACACAATAACACAAACCCTGTCCTATTTTGGCCACTTTGTCATACTTGGAAACGTCGTCGCAAAACGGATACTCAAAGTCGTCCAACAGTGGCGGCTGTTGTTGTCCACTACTACCGCCACTACCACCACCACCACCACCGCTACCGCCGCCGCCACTGTTACCATTGCCACCACTGCCGCTGCCACCGCCGCCGCCGCCGGTCGTTGTTTTATTAACAATAGTAGTCTGAGTGGCCATAATCATCGGCGGCATAGATCCGCTACCGCTTCCGCGGCTGTCATGTGAAGACATTTTTTTTTGATAGATTGGTGGCCAACACACAAATACACACGATAGCTAAGTGTATGTATTAATCCGATAACTATGTCCGCGACCGCACACGGTATCGGTATTTACAAAATAAAACTTCAGTTTTATTAGCGGTAAACACTGGTCACAACCACTGATGGCCGCATCCGGTCAGACAAACCAATCGGACGGACGGACGGATTATAAACACCAATTGATTTTGTTGTCTGTTTTCTGACCGAAACTTTTTCCCGAAACCCGATTATTATTACCGACGAAAATATCAACAAAAAAAATCTAATAATAATAACAACACATGTTATCTGAAAATACAATTCACTGATTATGTGACCAATTGTTTGATTGATTTGATTGAATCCCTGAATATTAATACATAGTTGTTATGTAATGTTTATAATATAGATATTATTATTTTTTTGTATATATAAAAGGGTAGCAAAAAAAATTTGTAATAATATTTGTAACGTTTTATTTGAATTGTTGTTTTCAATAGTATTTCTATACAGTCTTTCATCAGTAAATCAGGTATTTTTGGTGCAACTATTCATATAAGACGTGACGCGCGAAATAAAAACTATTTTGTAATAATTATTTCGAAATTATATATTTTTTTTATCAATTTTTAAGTATTTTTAGTTTTTATATATAGTTTTAGTTTGTTTTTTATCACTAGTTATCACTAATTATTATATTGTTTTGCAAACGTTTTTATTTTATTATTATTATTATTATTATCTATTTATTTATTTATATTTTTCTAATCAGTTTTATTGAACTATATATATATATATATATATATAAAAAATTATTGTCAATGAACTTGAAATTTTCAATTTATTATTATTTATCAAATTTTTATATAATATTACTGATAACTAAAAATTAAATAAACATTAAATTTTTAAAAAACTTAAAAAATATTTATTTAACTTATTATATGAGATAATAATAATATTAAAAATGTAATTTTTCTGTCAATATTTTTCTATTAAAATATTTCTAAGTAAATATTGTTTAATAGTAAAAAATATATATTTAATTAATTAATTAATTGGCTAGACAATTTTTAAAAAAATTATATATTATCAACATGTGTCAATTTTTTTTTAAATAATTTATTTATTACTAAAAGTAACTTGATGACTTTTTGTTGTTGATTACATAATTAGTTAACTTACTAAAAAAAAAATTAATTTTTTTAAATAATGTTTTACCCATTCAACCTACCAGTGCTCTACACTAAAACAGTGTTTAACAAAATTTTTAATTTTTTAATTATTTTAAAAAAAATAATTTAAAAAAAATATATAATAGAAGTGTACGTCATATATGAATAGTTTGATTGTTTGTTTGTTTGTTTGTATATTGAATACTAAAATGTCTGTCATATGATGTGTTGACGACTCAAACATATAATAAATACATTAAATAAAAACTGTTTATACAGTAAATAGTATTGAATACAGTATTGAATGAAACACTTGTTTATTATATTATATAAGCATTTAATAAGTGATTCATTCATTGCATTCAATACTATAGTAACTATCGAGACATACGTTTGTGTTGTTGAGGACACTGACTGACTGCTGACCACTTGATTACCGAAGCTATTTGCTGACCAATTGAGCCGTGTGTTTGCCTGTGTGTGTGTCCAACCAACCAAACCAACTAACTGACTGACTGACCAAATCAACTCCCGCGCGAGATCAACCCGTGACCACCAACAACATGTCGTACGCCTATCTATTCAAATACATAATCATCGGCGACACTGGTGTCGGTAAATCGTGTCTACTCTTGCAGTTTACCGACAAACGTTTCCAGCCGGTACACGATCTGACCATTGGTGTGGAATTTGGTGCCCGTATGATCACTATCGACGGCAAACAAATCAAACTCCAAATATGGGATACGGCCGGCCAGGAAGCGTTCCGATCGATTACCCGATCGTACTATCGCGGAGCGGCCGGTGCACTGTTGGTCTACGATATTACCCGACGGGATACGTTCAATCATTTGACTACTTGGCTGGAGGACGCCCGACAACACTCCAATAGCAATATGGTTATTATGTTGATCGGCAATAAGTCCGATCTGGAGTCCCGTCGTGAGGTCAAGAAAGAAGAAGGCGAAGCTTTTGCTCGGGAACACGGATTGATTTTTATGGAAACATCAGCGAAAACGGCGGCCAATGTCGAGGAAGCGTTCATCAATACGGCCAAAGAGATCTACGAGAAGATACAGGAAGGCGTCTTCGACATTAACAATGAGGTAATCAAACCATATGATTGGTTAGGTTTTTTTGTGGCCACCAATTGGTGTCCACTGTCTATCTGTTTGTCTGTGTGATTGTCAATATGTTATCAACAAAAACGGACAGTAATTGGTAGACCAGTCAGCCATTGACTTAACAGATAATTTGTTGTTGTTTTTTTGTGGCCACCAATTGGTGTCCACTGTCTGTCTGTTTGTGATTGACATATGTTATCATCAAAAACAGGCATTAATTGGTTGATGAGTTAGACCAGTCAGCCATTGACTTAACAGATAATTTGTTGTTGTTTTTTTGTGGCCACCAATTGGTGTCCACTGTCTGTCTATCTGTGTGTTTATGATTGTCATATGTTATCCACAAAATTACGGGCAGTAATTGGTAGACAAGTTAGACCAGTCAGCCATTGACTTAACAGATAATTTGTGGATTTTTTTTGTCGCCAATTTGTGTCCTTTATGTCTGTCTCCCTGTCTGTGTGTTTGTGTCTGTCATTTCTGATCCTATCAACTAAAATATGTCATCAAAAATAATAATAATAAAGAAGTTATGGTTGGGATAGCATCTGATGGATAGATGGATGACATTTACAGTATAGTTGTTTGTGTGTGTGTGTGTGTGTGTATGTGTATGTGTGTATGTATGTATGTATGTGTGTGTGTGTGTGTGTGTGTGTGTGTGTGTGTGTGTGTGTGACATATGCTATCACTTAGGCTAACTAACTGATTGCATGATTGGATATTTTGAGTTAATTTGTTTGTCAATTGTTTTGTTGATAATTATATGTTAATAATTTGATTTAAAAAAAAAACTTATTGTTTGTTTGTTTGATTTTTTTTATAATAGGCAAACGGTATCAAAATAGGACCCCAACATTCACCGACCAGTTCATTACCGACTGGTAGCCAGGGATCTAATCAGGGAAGTGGTTGCTGTTAAAAGTGTGTGTTTGTGTGTCAATCACTAACCTAACAAAATATATATATAAATATATATATATATTAGTTTATATATATATTGAATATGTTTGTCTGATTATTATCTAATTAGTAATTAATTTATTTTTGGCGATTTTAAAAATTAATTCAATTGTCATTGATTATTATTATAAATTGTGAATTATTATTATTATTAATTATTATTATATAATAAATATGTTATATATTTTATTATTATTAACTCTATATATTTTCCATATATTATTTTTATTATTATTATTATGATTATATCACTCACTATATTATTATTATTTAAGTTTTTTTTAAATTGTGTAATTGTAATTTAAGTTTGAAATTTTAATTTTTCATAAATTTATTAACTTTTAAAATTACTTTTACACAGTCAAACCCCACCCCCACCACAAATTAATTATTAGTATTTGATTATTAATAGTATAGATAGTATTACTTGTATTAACTGTACGACAAAAAAAACATTGATTTATTTTTTAGAAAAAAAATTAGTAGTAATTATTTAATTAACTTTGTCTTTAATGTAGAATTTGTGAAATTTTAAAATGGTTTTTATACCCCCACCCACACCTCCCATTGAACCCCTTAAGTATATATATATATATACTCAAAGTTATTAAAAAAATATTTTATAAATAAAAAACAAAAAAACACTTTTTCAATGAATGCACACATTTAACTGTAATGTAATAATTGATTTGATATTTTTTATGTTTGTTTGTTAATTATCGTAAAAATTTTAATTATCGTAAATTTTTTTTTTTGAATTATGATTTATATTTTTAAAAAATTAATTTGAATTTATATTTCACTACTGAAAAAAAACAAAATTTAATAATAAGTTTTAACTGTATTTGTGTTTATTATTATTATTATTTGCTAACCTATTGATTATATTTATAAAGCCATTTTATATATTTAATATATTATATATATATACATAAATTGGTTTTTAATATATATAAAAAAAAAATTTCTAAATATATTCAATATATATATAATTTTTAAATGTTTATTATTATTCATATATATATATATTGATATAATTAACTTATTAACTATTATTAACTAAAAAAAATAAATAAAAATAAATCACTAGTCAATGTATTATTTTATCAATTTATTTCTTAATACTGTATAACTACCCGTGTATTTAAACAAAACAAAACAAAAAATACAATTATATTTAAAAAGATAATTAATTATTATATAATAGTTATAATTAAATAAATTATATAAAACAAATTGATTGATCGATTGATTAATAAGTAAAAACAAATTGTTTAAACATTGTATTTACATTCCATTATATAATAATAATAATTATATGCTATATATATATATGTATAAAAAAAATTTGATGATTTTATTAAAAAGTAAAATTTTTTTTGAAACTTAAATTAATTTTTCAATTTTTTTTGATTGATTGATTGATATTTCCTTTTATATTATATAAAAAAAATTACCGGTATATATATATTTTTTTATTGATTATTTATTTTTAAAAAATTTAATATTTTATAACTATATAGCATTTTTTTAAAGTATAGGTATTATCTTACGATTTATTATTATTTTTTTTAATAATAATTTTTTATCAATTTTTTTTACTTTTTAAGATATCGCCATACGGTAAGTATGGATATCAATACTGGTATATATAGTATATATATATAGTATATAATATCATGTATTAGTAGTGTATATATCAAAAAAATATTGATTATTATTTTCTGGTATTTATATAACTATATTATCTATTTGTGGGAAAGTTATTAACGAAATTAATAATAATAATAATGTAATACAATATATAAATACAATTTAATAGTTGTATTTAGAGAGAGAAAAAAATTAATGTTTAATAATGTTTACCGTATTATATATGATATTAATTAATTAATGTATTTTATTAGCAAATATATGATATTGTAATATCATATAAATTATTATTATATATGATATAAGTTTTATCTATTAATCATATATTTACAGATAATATATATTTTTGAAATATATTGTTGTATTTTTTTGTCTACTATTAAATCTAATACTAAATGTTTTTTTTAAAATTTATTATAATAATTATTATGCATCAAAAAAATTATCTTGCTAAAGTTTGATTTATAAAAAAATTAAATAAATTATTTAGATTTTTAATAAAACTATACATTTATTATAATAATATATTTTTTTAAAATTAACACAAAATATCTCTAAGATAATAATAAATAGCAACAAAAATAATATCCAATTTTATAATAGAAATATTATTAAACAAAAAAAACTAATTAAAAAAATATTAAAAATAATTATTAATATATATTTTTAAGTATTTTCGGGGAAAATATATAATTATCGTAATTTTTATTATAATTATTTTTTTATGTTAGAGTAATCTATTAAAAATAATAATAGTTACACAAAATTAGGGAAAAAATTGATTTGAAAGCAATATTTTTTTTATATAATAATTTGATTTATTTTCTGAATTTTTTTTTAATTTATTGATAGAAATTTTAGACTAACAATCAATAGATATAAATATATAAATAATTTTATTTATGTAAATACACATAACGTTTAACAGTGTAATAACATTAATAAAAAAATTATTTATTATAAAAAAAATAAAATTAAAATTAAAAAAGTTTTTAAACTTTGCGCCCAATTTTCAATGCTAACAATTTTGTTGTCACTGTGTGTTGTCAATGACAACCAACCAACCAAACAATCAATAAATTAGTTTCTATAACAACCAAACAAATCTATTGCTTAAAAAATTGTTAGATTATATTCAAAACCAAAACTATAGTAGACGCCACCCACACAAGCACATAGATTACACTTAATATATATACATTCAAATAAAATAATATGTATAATAACTATGTATAACATCATAAATCTATGATTTGTAAAAAAACTCCGCCCCCTATAAACATTAAACACTACTAATATTGCCGGCATATACTGTACTAACTATTATATACCTTTAAGTTGCTGTAGTTTTTAGCCTTTTATGTTTCAAAACTAGTATTTTTTAAACATTTTTATAAAAATCAATATTAATAGTTTAATATAAATATTTTCTGAGTATTAAGGAATTTAGTTGGGAATATTTTTTTACTTCAGGAATTTATTGGGAATTTATAAGGAATTTATTGTGAATTTATAGTAAATTTTTTTTTGGGGGGGGGAATATATAGACATTTTATAGGAAATATTGTGCATAACAAATATTTTTTATTAAATTTATCATTTAAAATAACTTTATTATAATTTTTTTCAAATATATGTATTCATAATTATTTTACTACTATATATTTTATAATATATTTTTTGTAAATAATTTTTTTCTAAAAAAATTATTATTGTTTTGGTTTTGAATATAATCAAACAGTTTTTTTTAAATTAGCAATTGATTGGTTGGTTGGTTGTTATGGAAACTATAATCAATAAACAAACAAACAATAAAACAATGTTTTGTTTTTTGGCGGCAAATGTTTTGCTATTATTAACTGTATTTCAATTCAATTCAATCACTCAATGGATTATCAATCACTTTAACGGTTCCCAAATCATCGGTAACTAAAAAAAATGTCACCAAAACTATCGCTGACAGTCACTGGCAGTCAACACAATCGGACAGCCGCTGGCGGTCAGCGGCAATCAGCGGCGAATCGGGTCTTTGCCCAGTTGTCGCCCAATTTGCTGCACACTTATGGCCGATGTCCGCAACGATCGCAACTAACCAAACGTATACGCGTGACGGCCATTTCGGGTCTGGCCTCGAGTGACCGCTATCGACAACTGGTCGAACTGGCGGACAATTCCTCGGCCGATACTGTCGACCGTTATGTCCAACATCTGGATCTGATCGCTGTTGACGACTTGCGCCGACAACCGCTTAGTCGACTACAGGCTCGCCATCCTCTCAGACATATATCGCGCGTACGTTTGCGTCCGAAATCGGTGTCCATATTGACGACGGCCAACAACAACAAGCCAGAGTCAGCCGCCGCTGCCGTTAACGCCAACACTGTCGTCGACATCAACGGTCTCGAGCTATCGGCACATCTGCGGCGTCGATGTTTCGCTAGCGTCGAGTCGCTTACCGCTGACCAGATTGCCGCCAGTTTAGCCAATGTGGACACCTATTGCGATAACAAAGATCTAAAATTTGCCGAACTGGTCAAACCAATCGATGGTCACACAGCTGACGGTGATGAGGATGATGGTGTCAATAGTGGCCGTATTGGTCGTATTGTTGTCGCCGACAATAAGGCAATCAAACAAACGGCTGCCACAGTTGCCGTCGCTGACAATAAGGTGTCCAAACAAACGGCTGCCAGAGTTGTCGCCGACAATAAGGTGTCCAAACAAACGGCTGCCAGAGTTGTCGCCGACAATAAGGTGTCCAAACAAACGGCTGCCAGAGTTGTCGCCGACAATAAGGTGTCCAAACAAACGGCTGCCAGAGTTATCGCCGACAATAAGGTGTCCAAACAAACGGCTGCCACAGTTGTCGCCGACAATAAGGTGTCCAAACAAACGGCTGCCACAGTTGCCGCTGCCGTTGCCGACGTGTGTCCCAAATGTAAGGCTAAGCTGTTGAACAACATTACTAGTAATGGTGTCCGATCTCTAAGACAACGACAACGATCTCATTTGTGTCCAAAAACAAAGCAAAAGTAATGAACCAAATAGTGTGAGTGATATCTTTTGATGTCTTTATTAAAAACAAAAAAAAAGTTTTTAGTTTTATTTTTATAGTTTTTTTATAGTTATTTTTTGTTTAAATTTATATTTTTAAAAAAAAAGTTTTGTTCAGTTATTATGAAAATATCTTATTATTTTTTTTTTTGGTGCCAATTATGATATGTTAGTCTATTTTTTTTTAATAATTTATAGTATTATTGATATTTACCGTAATATTTATGGATATAATTTAATAATTAGTAAAACTTTTTATAGATTTAAAAAAATTTTTTTTTTATATAATCACTTACTGTATTAGGAGATAAAATAATAATAGGATTTATTTTTTTTATTTATATAAATATATTTTTACAAAATCTTATGGATTTTAAAGTCGTTAAAACTATAATAATAATGATAACAATTATAATTATACATATTTAACATATTTAGAGATAATTATGATATATATAACATAAATATAAATATTTTATTATTTTTTTTTTGATAAATATATGATAAAAAAAATAAATAAATAGCAAACTATTTATATAAATATATATTATATTTGTTTCTTATTATTATTATATCTTATATTATATATACGTTAACAACGGATACCGACATCAAGTTTATCGATAATATCTTGAATAACCTTCGAGTGGCTCAACGATAGACAATAGAAAAGATTTTCGCTAACATCTCGCCAATCGACCGAATCACTCATATGATCATTGATATTGATATTGTGATGGCTATAGTGTATGTGCCATAACTCCAGTTCCTTCCAAGCATTGTCCGTATTCAACGGATCATCGAAATAGCCTCTCATCAGTTGTTCAGAACGAAAAGTCTTTTGCTGTTGTGGTGGTAGTGATGGTTGTGATTGTTGTCCCTGTTTTTCATCCAACGAACCGAACCATTCAATCATTGTCTCCGATTTGGTCCAATTCCTTAGTTTTTCGTTATCAATCTTAAACATGGATTCAATGCCACCGTATTGAAGATCGCCTGATATGAATCGTTCAATAAGTGATACATTATTATTATTATTTTGATTGTTAGTGTTGTTGTTGTTGTTGTTGTTGTTCTTGGGATCCATTACTTCGACCATTACTTCCAATGATTCAAATTTCTTACTATTTTTTGAGTGATAATAGTTTTATTTTTGTAAAAATGTGAAACATATTGAATAATTGGGGGTAAATACCGGGTAATAACTGTCATAACATAATGATTGGGTCCCCATCTTAACAACGATCCGCGACCTCTCAGTCCAGTCCTACCAAACGGATTAATCGGTATGACATTGTCTTCCAGTTTATAGATAATCGACTGATTGTTGTTCAACCGATGCCACGATTGACGATCAATGCAAACACCGGCTCCGGAAACTGTCTGCTGATTCCATTGGAAAACCGGTAGCTTTCGGCTCAAGTGTTCAGGTTTTTCAAAATTTGACTCTTTCAGGGCTAGGATATTGGTGTCGGTCCAGTCGCGTACCGTTGGCCGCATTTCCGAACGGGGTTTACTGTAGGCAATCGGATCGTAGTCGCACCACAACACATGCCACGAAACATATTTATCGGGAACCGGATATCGATGGACATCTGTTCCCGGATATGGCGAATGTCTGGATAGTACGTGAAGTTTTTGTTGCCGACACAACTCAGACACCGACGCCGACGATGACCTACTAGTTGTCGACAAATGTTTCAGTGATTCCAATAAGACAAACGACTGCTGAATAGATCTTTCCATTTCCGATGTCCGGCCCATCAGTTTCCGTAGTTGTCGTCTCTGGTATTCCAGTTCTTCGCTCATGGCTTTCGTCATTTCCCATTGTTTTGTACACAAATTGTGTTCATTGTCTTTCAATTGTTTATCATCGTATACCTGTGTGGCCAATATCTTCAGATAGGCATAGTCTTCATCGGTAACCAATTTCATATGATCTTCAGTTTTATTCAGTCTAACTTTGTTTTGTTTATCACAACAACAACAACAACAACAATAGCCATAATAACAGATACAACAAAATCGTCGACAAATCCAATAGATATAGTAGAAGATATTCAACGGCGGCGGCAACGGTGCTCGGGTAACAAAATCAATGACCAGTCCGTATCGTTGACTTTTCCATATGCTGTCCATATCGGTCGTATGTTTGACAGCGCTGGCCGCAAATATGGCCGATAGCAGTGTCATCAGTATAACTTTCAACAATACCAGATAACCCATACCGAAAAAGTATGGCCACAAACCAGTTACCCGACATTCCTCAGTGTTGTATATACTGGCCGTACATGTCTGCTGCTGTTGCTGCTGATGATGACTGTCTTGTTGTTGTTGTTGTTGTTGATCCCATCGATTGTTTTCTTCGCAATTCATGTCAACTATTGTATGTATAAAAAAACAAAATAAAGATTATATGATTATAACAAATGATTTATTGCCTATTCTTGAAGTGGAACTGACCCTCGAGTTCGCGGACATAGTTGGAGAATAGGGTGAAGAATGCTCTGTGAAATGTTCGCCTAAATAGTTCATAATTGATGGACAAATCGGGATATAATAGCGACTGAAGTACAACACCGAAGCTAATCATAACGAGTATCGATAGTCGGATAAAGTTTAAGAAGTCGACGAATAACATGATTTTCAACCGATAGAGTAGTGGCCCGAGAGTGGCCGATATCGGCAGGAATACGGTAAACAGTACATAGTAGGCGTGCAATAGTGCCAAACACATCATTACTTTTTCGGTATAGGCATCGGTAGTTGTATACCAGTAGATCAGTCGACCTCTGATATAATACATGAGAAATGTCGACTGAAATATCATTTCGCAAACTCGGGACTTATTGTTATAGTAGTTGGCATTTCGTTGGCCAATCAGATAGGTTTGCCGACATTGGTCGACAACAATCAAGGCTGTCCACACACTGACCACCAGATCCAGATAGAAGTGTCCGCATCGCGGATACAGTACGGCTACGCTGAAGATGGATAAATAGAATGTATAGAAAAACTGGTAGTTCCAGAATTTGGTTATCGGTGCCGTCCAGGTGTAGTACATGATGGTCATCAACGGTGTCGATGATTGGTACGTCTTGTACAGTGGTCGAGGTGGCGGCGATGATAATGATCGTTGATTTTCTTCACTAATATTAGGTATTTTCTTGGGAAGCGGTGGCGGCGGCGGCTGTGGTCTCTTCATCTTCTTCTTCATTGCTGGACTTTTATTATCGTCATTAGCTGATCCATCATCCGATTGATGATGAAATACAGTGGCGTCAGGTTTGCTGTTGTTGTTGTTGACAACCCTGATCCAGAAGTATGCCGGCAATACCAGATAGGCTGATGTCAGCAGTTTGAACATCGATGGCAACCGAAAGATACCGATCCGGACTTCTCGGACGGCAATATGACCGTAGATCTGATTGGTCAGACGTCGCTGACACGACGGATGAATGAAAAACGTTTTGAATTTACCGAAAGCCGCCAAATCCAAGGCTGTCCGCGAATTCCAGTCGCGCGACGACTCCACTAGAATTCGTTCGGCTCGTACGGCACTGTCTTTGTAGACCAAATCCAATACACTGATGGCATAGTCGATGAATATCTGCGATTCTTCCAGCAGTTGATCGCATAGCTGTTGATCGCCGCCGCCAACAAACCAGGACATCCGTTTGTAGGACAGGGCTATAATCAGTGCCAAATGTATCGGTTGGTCGGAATATCGCCACAAAATGTGAACCAATTTCTTACGAAAGTCCATAACCGCCCACAAGACTACAATTTCCAATGCCTTACGTTCGGCTTCGCGTTCGCTTTCCTGCGGATATTGTTCAGTAACAAACAGATCCAGTTCCTCTTGGGTAACAAATCGGTCGACACCGCAACAAACACTGACCAAATAGTTGAACTCACGGCTCAAAAAATTTTCGCTATCGTCCTGTCGCTGGTCGACACTTCGGCCGAGAATTGCTTCCCAACAGACTGTCTGGAAAAAGTCTTTCGCATGAATCGATCGAAACATTTGGATCAATGTTTTCGGTCTAACAAACGATCGTAATTTGAATTTCTGCGACAGAAATAGATCGACAAATTTCCATCGATTACTTCGGATCAGCGACTCTTCGAACAGCGACTTCTCGTTGTTGAGTGAATACGTGGGATCTTTGGTCAGTACTTGACTGCGGGCTACTTCCGGACAGTTCCAGTCGATACACAATTGCAAGTCTTTGTGTATGAGTGCAGCCGATTCTTCAGCCGTCATCTGATGTCTGTCAGCCGATTGTTGTTGTTGTTGTTGTTGTCCATCGGTTTCACTATTGATATCGTCGACCGTATCCGATGTACTATCGTTTCGTTGCGACCGAAACAGTGCCGACAGTAGATATTCGGTAAGATTTTCCAAATTACACGAATAAGTGTCAAACATATTGATAATTGTCATATAGTTTTGGCCGTTCGGCTGACGACTCAGACGAATCGATTCCAGTATTCGGTGGCGAAATGTTTTCAACAGTACCCGATTGTCCCGCAAATTGCCAAACGTTTCGCCGATACGTAGGGTTAGCTCCGGTTTCAGATAGGTTTCGACAAACTCTGTATTCCAGACATTCATACACCGATCGCGTGTCTCGATGTCGGCGAAAGCTAGCAAATCGGCCAAACCTCCAGTTCCGCGCAACACAACTACCGGCAGTTCCTGTCGGATGTGATTCAACACAAGACGGGCGCACTCGTAGCCGCCGTTCATCAGTATGGAAACGACTGGTACTTCGCTGGTCTCTATCGAACACAGATCCGGATCTAATACCTGTCCACTACCACCACCGCCGCCGCCGCCACTCTGAAGATGTTTTTGGTTGAGCGACAAAAACGATATAAACTTATTGATAAACTCATTAACACCGCACTTGTCCTCCGATTTGTCTTTAATCAGTATATAATGACTCAAATATGGCTGCAATTCATACTTTTTCTTTGAATTGTTGCTTCGGTTGATACCACCGCTGGTTATTGTTATTCTTGGCTGTCAATGGAAAAGTGTATCAACAAACAAAAAATTGTTAGCACCGGTAGTAGTAGTAGTAGTAGTAGTAGTAGTAGTAGTAGTTGTAGTGATTACCTGAGCGCTTGTGGTAATTGTTTGCAAATATTTCAGATTATCTTCGTTGACAATACCAATAAAGTTTGATTTTGCAAACGATTTTTCGCTATTGATGGCCATCTTGTACTTGATTTCGGTAGTATAGTCGTGTACGGCGTCGCCAATGATAGCCGTAGCGCCGATATCTATGCCGTTAGTAATTAACCACATATTGGTATTTTCGGCGGCCTTTCGGATCAATCAATCAATCAATTAAGTAATAATTTTTAATCTCTCTCTCTCTCTCTCTCTCTCTCTCTCACTTACATTCATTAAACCCTTTTGAAAGGCTCTGATCTGTTGTTTATTCTTCCAGTTATGAATTGGTCCGCAATTTGACAAAACAATGACCACTATCTTCGGATTCCTTAGCGACCACTCTTTGTGTACGACTTCGCGAACCAATTGTTCAATATCTACACTATCTTCACACCTGACCATTGGTTTACCCTTTTTTTTAAATAAAGACAGACAACAACAATAACAACTAAAATTTAGTAATCATTAGCTCAGTTAGCTTTTCGCTAACTAACTAATCATTTGATTGATTGACCAGAAAAAAATTAATTAATTTTTTTTAAGTATTTAAATACCTGTTTATTCAAGTCATCCGAGTCTTTGAAATAAAGTGAACCTAATTGTAGTATTTTTGGACAATTTTTCATCACTTTTTCCATAAGTTTTATTTATACAAAAAAAATAATTATTAATTTGTTTCAATAGGAGATTCAAATTAAAAACAAATATATAATTATAAGAGAGAGATATACAGAGATAATCACAAATTTATTTTTTAATAAAAAAAAATTTACATTTAATTCACAGAATTTATTGTATAATCAATATTCTGTTAATTTTTTTTAAAAAAAAATACAATAATTATTAGTATAAACACAACAATATATATATAACTATCATAACTGTATTAATAAACAATAATACATTGAATTATAATTTAATCTATAAATTTGATTATTTTGATTTTCACGCACTTATTTAATTGAAATTAATTAAATGTTTTAATTATTATTATTGTTAATATAGCGAGATTAAACAATTTATAATAATAAAAAATTTAGTACTAATAGACTATATCTAATAATAGGTATATTAATTAATAATGATATCATATATATGTAAATTCAAATTTAAAAAATCAAAAATTTTTTTACCCCCAAAAAAATAAAATCAGTTATCAATTATTATCCGTTACATTATTAAGTCATTAATCAAACATTTCATTTTCGGTCAGTTTAGACAATCAAACAAACAGTTTTTTTCATTTCAATTTACAATCGGTAATCAATCAATCAATTAAATCAAATCAAATCTAAGATTTAATAAAAAAAAACGACAATTTTTGGATCAAACAAACAAAAAATCAGTTTTCAATTGATTACTACTACTACTAATCGACACTAAAAAACAACAGAAAAGATGCCGTTTTATACCAAACGAATGGTTAGATTCTTGGAGGGAAAAGAAGGTAAACATAAACGAAAACACAGTCACAACAAACCAGAGAAAGGCCTACGAATAGCGCCGTCAACTGTTGGCGCTGACGGTGGCGGCGGTGGCAGCAGTTCGGCCAAAAGCGGAGTCAAGGGTAGTAGTGTTGGCGGCGGTGGTGGCGGTGGCAGCACTTCAGGTGGCAAACCATCAGAGGCTGAAGTACTCACTGCCGAACCCAAAGAGCAGATCCCAGACAATGCTTTCGATCAGAAAAAACTACAGTTCATGAAGACTATGCTGAAGGCAGCGGTCGATCGGATCGACAAAGAAAAGGCTTCCCTCCCTGTCAGCCATCGATACTTTAGTCGCTATGCCATTCAAACGGATAAACTTGTTGCCGAAACGGCCGCCTGTAAGGTATACAAAGCCCAACACCAGGACTTCAAAGACAACGTATTGGCCGTTAAGACCTATGAAGGCGAACACGGCATCGACGGTAACGGTGCTGTTTGGCTGAAAATACTGAGAATTTTAGGTAAAAAACATCCGAATGTTATCCAAACGTGGGATGTGTTCTTCAGTCCCGAAGAAAACAACAAACTATTGATTATCCAGGAGTTGGCTAACAAAGGATCGCTGGCCACACATTTGAATAGCAATCAAGTGGACGAAAAACAAGCGGGCAGTTGGCTGTGGCAACTGCTCAAAGCTATCGACTACTTGGGCGACGTCGGTGTCAGCCATCGATCCATTCAACCGAAACACATACTATTGACTAACAAAGATCTCAAACTCAAACTAACCGGTTTTGAATCGGCGGCCGTCTACTGGGATCCGGTAAAAGAGGACATCAAAAACGTTGCCTGCGTTCCCCTTGAACAGCGGCCAACCGATCCCAATGCACCGTCATTTCAGGCGCCCGAAGTTTACGGCGATCCGGCCAAAGAAGAATTCGATCCGATGGTCGCCGACGTCTGGTCTATCGGTGCCACGGCTTACTATATGCTGACCAAACAATATCCGTACGATATATCCAAAGTGGATACCATTTCGGCTGATATTCAATCAAATATCTCGAAAATTCAGGGCATCAGCGATGATGGTAAGCGATGTCTATCGGAAATGTTGAAACCGACGGCCACTGAACGCAAATACATCGACAAACTCATGTCCGACCCGTGGCTCAAAGGATTCAGATAGATTGTGGTCAGTCGTGTTTGTCATCTTCAGAGACACTTCATCGGTGGTCAATCCAGTCATCAAATATATATATATATATATACAGTATATATATAGTTAGTAATTAACTTTTTTTATTACATTCACAACTAACCAAAAAAACAGCCAAATTGTCCTCTTATTGATTGATTGATTGAATGAAAAAAAAATGATATTAAAATCCATTTAAAACTTTGATATCAATTGTTTGTTTGTTGTCTTAAATTTCAATCTATAAACTAAATTAATAGAAAATAAAAATCAGTTATTAAATATATGTGTGATTTCAATCAAATTCAATCATTTTTATTGTGTGTGTGTGTCTGATATTAATTAGACAAAATTATAATAATTTAAATTATATATTTTTTTTTGAAAAATATAAAATATTGAATATTCATTGATTTGCTAAGTCTATACACAATTTGTTATTTATTTTATTTTATTTTTTTATTTAAATAAAATCAAAATTAAGTGTCAAAACAAAAATAATTAGTAAATTAACTGAAACTAAATCAATAGTTTGCTTAAAAGTTTTGTTACAAATGGCATAACAAATACTAGTCTATAATTTTTTTAGTCTATTATTATTAATTGAATTAATTTATTGCTTAAATAAATTTCAAAAATATTATTTATTATTATTATTAGATTTTAGTTTTATTTAAAAAGTTTTTATATCAAACATAAATTTTGTTT